ATTATATATTCGAATTGCCTATATACACGGTGAAAAGTTGCGCGATTAAATTGAACATATCGAATAAAAAAAAATATAATATAGATTGAAGATATCATAGATCTTGCTTGACGTGTTCCGAGAATCAAATTCGTACGAGATGATTACAAGCTCGCCTTAGCACTGATCGATACGATCAGTTACGTTAAAATTACACCGTGGAACTACCGTAATTATAGTAATCAAGAATTATTACGCGCTACCCGGACTAATAATATTCACATTATGAACGTGTCGTAAAGTATGGCTTTCCGCGCGAAACGCGTCACAAATTATTATAGATAGCATTAAAGAGTACGTATAATTAAATTGATTTTAATTTAATCCAATTTAACAAACCCACCGACGCTAATATCGATCCGCGCTCGTGAAACCACGTGTACATTAAGCGAAAAATCATCAGTTACAAACTGCCTACGGCGTATATTTTCAGAAAAATAAGAGAACTCGTATATTCCTCATAATAAAATCAAAACTCCAAAATTTTTACACCGAATACAACTTTTCCCGAAAATTTCAAACAAGCATATATATTTCACTCGAAATAAAAAAAAAGAAAAGAAGTCGAAAAGTTTTCAAACTAATAAGTCGACAAGCACGTAAACATCGAGTCTCAACGACCAGGTGTTCGATATCCGGGGCTTCCGCGATTATATATAAGCTCTACAGAAAACAAGACATCAAACGCAACAACACTCCGTTGCATAACACGGGGCGGTCTCTTCACGGACAGGCTCACGCGATTACACGCGTGTGCACGTGCGCGCTCGAATTTTTCAAACAAATAAATCCGGCACCTGTGGTCGCTCCTAATGCAACTCCGCTGCACCCGCGCGATGCATCCCCGCGAAAGCGCATGCGCGCGCTCGCGCACATGCTCGCGGTCTTATGATTATGAATATACGGCAGGTGAGAGAACGCTCGGGAGAGAGAATGGTCCAGGTGAGAGAGCGTGGGGGAGAGCGAATCGGGTTGTCCAACCAGCGGGATGGTAGCCGCGGACTGCCCACCGCGGCCCATTGGCCGGGTTCGCGAGTCCGCTATCGTATTATCGCCGGGAACTCGACGGGAACTCGCCGTTACGATACACCGATGCTTACGTCCGCGATCGATCACGCGCGAGATAACTATCCGCGATCGAAGGAGAGACGCGTGAAAACGCGGGTACTTTTATTATTATTAATCGCGACGAAATCTCCCTCTCGTATATATATCGGAATGGTCCGTGACGTAATTGATAATCGCGGTATAATCCTCTCGATTTCACGGAAAATTCCGTAATAATGTTCAAAATTCAAGATAGTAGATTGGTGTGAAGGAAAAAATCGCGGGAAACTGCAACGATATATCGCGCAATCATAAATTAGACGATCGTATTAAAAAATGTGAGCGTAGGTAGGATGTGTCTATGAAAAATAATTTCGAGGCACTCGATTTGTGTATGAGAAATCTTTTTATGTTAAACGCTCTTTTCCAAGGATTTTCTGAGGATGTTAATATGTATCGTTCCTGAAAGAGACGGCGAATTACATAACTGAGTCATTTAATTATGCTTTAAAATCAATCACGCCTTTCTGAATTCGATTTTATTTTTTAAGCTTCATTTGAAAATTCTATCATTACAGGAACTCTCATAGAAAATCTAATAGTTTCACGATCGATTGTTTTTTCCACCCTCTCGATCGATATAAAAAACGTATACCGTATTCAACATGTATAACACTCCGAAGAAATACACGGAGGGATACCGCGATTGGAACGTGGAACGAACTCCGGTGCATCTCGGTTAAGGCCCTCCGGAGCGAGAAAGGGAAGAAACGCAACGGCAGGCAACGCGGTTGCACCGGAGAACGAAGGAGGCCCGAGGGAGACCGCCGACTTACAAATTATACGCGCTCAACGAGATTTACGGGTGACGCTTTGAGCGAGACCATTGTCCATCCTCGCTCACTTCTTTACCTCTTTACTCCTCCACTTGGCCCGTCTTTGTCCCCTCGTGAATCGCGCCGTCGTCCTCGGCCATCCTCTTCTCCGCGAGTTCTCCCTTCGTTCCCAGAGGACCGCGCGAGAAGGACGCGGCGCTCGCGCAAGCACACGAGAACGAGAGGGAGATTCGTTGGAGCGGTATATTCGTGTCGCGAAAAAACCGAGGAATGCCGATCGACGAAAGGGAATCCGGTTCCAATCGGATAATCGGGGGCTCTCGCGGGCCCTAGGAGAACTCGCGAGAAGAGCGTAATGCGCGACTCGATGACGAACGATCGTACGAGCGACTGATTTATGGACCTCGCGATATTTTCGGATGGCATTCCGCGGGAATGAGGACCGGAGACATTTTCGCGAATCTTACGTATTTAATTAAATTTGTTCAATATTTAAAATTTATATGTCTTGGATAAATCCTCTTTTTAGAATGATTAAGTAATTTGATAAATCAGAATTATATGTGAGATTTTCAAATATTGAAATTAAATAGCGGAATATATGATAAAACGAAAAGACTGATGTATAAATACAAATTTATTATCAAAGCCGTTATTTAATTTCAATATTTTTTAATCTCATATAATTCTGATTCATCAAATTACTTTCATTTAATGTGAATATATTGATGCGTGTACAAGTGTAAAATTAATATTTATTTTTTTTTTATTTAGAATTAATTTAAAATATTTATTTAGAATTAATATTATGTTTATTGATTCTATTTATATTCTACTACATTGCATATCACTGTAATATGACATAATGAATAGATATATTACTTTCGACAATATTAAAATATCACAAGAAAAAAATTACTTTTAATAAAGAATAATTTTTACTTCAACTTATAAAATAAATAATGATTCTACTTTTCGATATAAAATCTATTTATAAAATTAAATTTGTATGCCTGTCAGATGCTAATGGGTAATGATTATTGTTGAAACGGAAAAAACAATACGATAGTAGCCGTAGATTATCTTTCAGATGGTAAACAAAACATGCGGAGAAGAAAAGAACGAAAGTTTCCCGTTTGACCGTTAAATACTTGTTATCGAAACAAACCGTCATCCTCCTAATATATTTATCAAACACACCGTGAACGACGACCGAGCCAAAAAGCAACGAGGTGCGGACTCACAACAGTCGTCAGAACGCAGAAATTCGCTTTAAATCGAGAACAAATATTTGACGGATCTCTCGAGAGGATCTCTCCTTCTTCGTCCCTGAGAGCTATCCTGCGTGTACAATCCTGGTTATCCCTGGGTTTCGTATTCGAAAAATCACTTTACTCGTATCATCATACAAAATAAAATCTCCGTGTGATTAAAAATTGATTGAATAATATTTATTAAATACTCGCAGTAGTTAATTGTATGATTATTATATGATATATGGTAGTAACTAAATAATTTTCACCTTGTTATGATGCACGCAAAGTTCACGCTACGCTCGTTAGAAGATAGTTACGAGATGGTCCGTCTCCGGATGCTGTGTAATCCCGAGTGACACGGACGCGATAACGATTTATCATCGTGTAAACACTTTGCATAACAAAGTGTAGTACACAGCGAATGTGTCGCGCTACCGAATGATTTATTATTCCGAGTCGAGATAAATTGGATTTCAGCTACGCAGCTACCGAAAGCGTCTCACCTGATTTCGCGTTCTACGATATTCGATATTCCGGAGAATCTCGAATCTTCGTTAACCGAAACGTAATAATTGATAGTTTAAGAACAGGAAAAAGAAGATCAGTAATTTCACAAATAGGTAAGAATTCATTTTAGGAATCACGCATGCTCCGAAATAAAGAGAGATATTTAGAAAAGCATTTTGCGCGCCGTCAATAATAAGCGGACTTACGGTAACGCGAAATAAAGCCATAAATCTCGAGACACAGTCTGCTTATAAGAGCATGGATAACTACCAAAGGAGGATTTATAGCGCTATTACTCATCTCTTATATGTAAGCGTAACGTGCGATGTAATTGATAACCCAGATGACGCACCTCGAAACTGGAGCGCACTCGTTACAGTTCTTCGTGTTCGCCAAGTATTGGCGTTAATGCAACAAATCCCGTATAATTCGTGTAATTCACCGCAGTGTTTGTGCAAGATTTAAGATACAAAAGATACTCGAGCGAAAATATAGCAATTAGTTGAAAACAACGTTTTCGAAAAAAGAAGGAGAAAATTGTGACGAAAATAAAGCCGTGACGTTATCGGAATCGCTCGTATTTATTATTCACCAGGTTGGACACGAATCTTAAATGGACTTTTTTTCTTTCTTAAAAGGAATTATATATTTCCCTTTTTTTCTTACCTAGCGCAAACAACGCGAGCTACCAGAGATACCAGATACATATAACTTATGTTTGTTTTAACCCTCGTTTTTATGGCCGTCACGTGTTACGGCGCTAAGGACATGCCCGGGCTGTTACGTGTCACTCTTTATCTCACTTTTGAGAGACTTCGACGAAGAACTTCGAGGGAAGTGAGAACGCTTGTTATTCCTATCGTGGAGGCAACCGTCCTGACCGAGAGTTAAGATAATCAGGTTGAAAATAGTGAGAAACGTTTTCATTTACTGCTGCGTTAGACCCATAAAATCCAAAGGTATATGTACGAAAAAAATTCTTTTGTTCGCGAGAGTAATATAAATTCTTGTTTCGCACGCAAGGACACGTATTGTTATATATCTGTTCCCTTTTATCTCATGTCGTGCCTACTTGCAATCTTCGATTAGGCAAATAAAATTCAAAATCAGAGTATCAACAAGGAAAAAGTGCGCAAAATAAAGAACGAAATCAAGTAGTATAAATCACATTCCTATTTAACAAAAAAAAAAATAAAAATGAAAATAAAAATAGCCGTAAATCGAACGTAAATATATAATCTTACGAGAATGTATATAGCAATTGAAATAAAAAAAAAAAAGGAAAATGTGTCGCAAAATGAGATGAGTGACTCACCAGAAAGAACCGGTGATGGGGGTGACTAGAAGGAGGCAGATCGCCACGAGAACGAAACGCATCTCCATCCCCTTCGCACCTGGTGACACACTTCCGAAGATCACCGATTATGTTTCCTTTGTCCGTTCTGCTCGCTAATTATAGAACGAATTATAGACGAAAAGCGCAAAACGAAATCGTACGCGAAACAAAATTAAACGTAATAGCAACGCTCGTGAATTTACCGGGTCCAGTACGAAATCGATAGGATGTGAATTCACCAAGTATATGTCCTCCGTTAGATGTAGAATACACCTTCGTGATGAAATATTAGCGAACTAACTACTAAAAATATCTCCCTTCTACCACGCGACTCCTTGATCGATTCATCTAACAAAACTTAACATCGCGATGTGATAATTCGTTCGTAGAATATCTTGAAATCCTTCGAATCAATTTTCCGATGTTTTCGCAGTTTTGTGATAGACTAGATTTTTTTTTAGAACCAATGTCAACAGAAGTGTTAAAGGATGATCACATTTTTTGCCGAAGATTCACTTGTCGCGCGCAAAATTCTTCTCGATCTTCACGTTCTTATCGAACGAATTATTCTCGATATTGCGTTTCTCGAGATGTCTTGCAGCCACGATGATGTGTGCTTGATCCTCATGATCATATCGCACTGAGAGTGTTTGAAGATGATGCAAAATTCGTTGTAGGAAACGTCTTCAAGATTGCGAAAAAGGGACTCGCAATTCAAGAAAGATCCGGAAGAGAGAGGACCACTGATTTCCGGTCCTTTGAATCATCTGCCTCTTCTTTTTTCCCCCACCCCAATCACCCTCTCTCTCTCTCTCTCTCTCTCTTCTCTCCCTAGCTCCCTCTTCCCTCTTCTCTCTGTCTGTCGAAGTAGTTGACGTCCTCTTCCTTCTCCTCGCTTTCTCTACTTCCGTGTCTTGCTCCTTCTGTCCGTCTCTCCTTCTCTCAAAAGTACCAGCTACGTAAGGCACAGACGAGGCGTAGGAAAGTTCTCTTTTCTTGCTACGTGGACAAAAACGCGTCGCGTTCCTGCCAGAACTACGTCACCACGATCTTTGAGTGTTGCCTTACCCCCACCAACGAAGTTCTGAGGAGCAGAGAGAAGAGCTGCCCCCACCAACATATGCCGTTTTCTTCTTCTTCCTCTTCTTCTTCCTTTTCTTCTTCACCATGCACCAGCATCACCACCACCACCACCATAACAACCATCACCACCGCGAGACCACCGCCACCGAAGCCGGCGACGGGTGCATCCTCGATCTCGTCGTCTTTCGAAGAGACGCGATCTTCGGAGAAGAGATCATCCCCTTGAGAGAAGACGTTTTCAAGATTTGTCAGTCTCGCATACGAGCAGATCGATCGCGTGGAAGTGGATTTCGCAAAATTTCGTGCGCGGAAAATTGTAGGCGGGAACGAGAACGTAGAGGGAAGCTGACACAAGAACGGAAATTACGGAGAGGCGAGAAGGTGAGAGCGGGGAAAGAAGGGTGGAAAACCTGTGAGGGAGCCTAGGCGGAGGTGGAAAAATCGAGATGGTAGGGGAGAGAGACAACGAGAGATGTTGGTTGTCTGCGATCGCCGGCGAGGCTCCTGGCCGGAGCGAACTGTATGAGACTGTTGCGGACTTAGGCAGGCAGGTGAGCGCCGCTCGGCGGCAACGAGACGCAACCGAGCCCCTCTTTTCCTCTTTTAACTCGTCTACGGAACCCGCTGGGCACGAGGAGCCCGCTTGCGTGGGCTCCTCTCTGCTCCGAAGCCTAGGATCCCACGGAGGGAGGCACGAGCATGCCTCGATCTTTCCGAACGCGCAATGTCAAGGTGATCAACGCTAGACGACGAATCATAGTATTATCATCAAGAATCATTAACAGATCGCGAAGGATACAACTTTTCCAAATATTTTAATGTATGATATGTATGATATAATTAATTTTTTATTTAGTACGATAAAATGTATCGAGTATAAAGATTGACACTCCTAAAAACGATCATCAATTATCATCAAGAATCATTAACAGATCGCGAAGGATACAACTTTTCCAAATATTTTTCAATCATCCAATGTGTATGATATGTAATTAATTTTTTTTATTTAGTACGATAAAATGTATCGAGTATAAAGATTGACACTCCTAAAAACGATCATCAATTATCATCAAGAATCATTAACAGATCGCGAAGGATACAACTTTTCCAAATATTTTTCAATCATCCAATGTGTATGATATGTAATTAATTTTTTTTATTTAGTACGATAAAATGTATCGAGTATAAAGATTGACACTCCTAAAAACGATCATCAATTATCATCAAGAATCATTAACAGATCGCGAAGGATACAACTTTTCCAAATATTTTTCAATCATCCAATGTGTATGATATGTAATTAATTTTTTTTATTTAGTACGATAAAATGTATCGAGTATAAAGATTGACACTCCTAAAAACGATCATCAATTATCATCAAGAATCATTAACAGATCGCGAAGGATACAACTTTTCCAAATATTTTTCAATCATCCAATGATGTACGATATGTATCGAGTATAAAGATTGACACTCCTTCATCAATTATCATCAAGAATCATTAACAGATAAGGATACGTGTATGATATATAATGTACGATAAAATGTATCGAGTATAAAGATTGACACTTCTAAAAACGATCATCAATTATCATCAAGAATCATTAACAGATCGCGAAGGATACAACTTTTCCAATGATGTATGATATATAATTAATTTTTTTATTCAATACGATAAAATGTATCGAGTATAAAGATTGACACTCCTAAAAACGAATGATAGTATTATCATCAATTATCATCAAGAATCATTAACAGATCGCGAAGGATACAACTTTTCCAAATATTTTTCAATCATCCAATGTGTATGATATATAATTAATTTTTTTATTTAGTACGATAAAATGTATCGAGTATAAAGATTGACACTTCTAAAAACGATCATCAATTATCATCAAGAATCATTAACAGATCGCGAAGGATACAACTTTTCCAATGATGTATGATATATAATTAATTTTTTTATTCAATACGATAAAATGTATCGAGTATAAAGATTGACACTCCTAAAAACGAATGATAGTATTATCATCAATTATCATCAAGAATCATTAACAGATCGCGAAGGATACAACTTTTCCAAATATTTTTCAATCATCCAATGTGTATAATATATAATTAATTTTTTTATTTAATACGATAAAATGTATCGAGTATAAAGATTGACACTCCTAAAAATGAATGATAGTATTATCATCAAGAATCATTAACAGATCGCGAAGAATACAACTTTTCCAAATATTTTTCAATCATCCAATGTGCATGATATGTATAGGTATATAATTAATTTTTTTTATTTAATACGATAAAATGTATTGGCATAAAGATTGACACTTTTAAAAAATGCACGACAGTTTTTAAATGCAATTAATATTAAATAAAAAATTATTAACATTTTCATGCGAATTGCAAGTTAATTCTAAAATATATCTTAGTATATATTGAAATATATAATAATTATATATATATTTTTTATATACGTAAAACTAAAATGTTCTAGCTCGTATTTTTTATAAAATTGCAATATTTAAAATTTACACATCTATAATTTTAATTTTAATTAATATCTAAATTACTTTGATTATTATTTATAAAAATAATTGATGTATTATCGTAATAACAAATTTAAAAATGAGATCCTAAGGATAAACCGCGAGTCTGCGGCTCTACTGCTTCTAAAATAAAAGATTCCATCGAAAGATTATGCATAGAGATCTGAATTCTACGCTCGAATATACCTTTTTCATCCCCCTACTACCCTCTTATCCTCTCATTCCCATAATAAGGAGTTCGCTGCGCCTTGTCAAACGAATCTCAGCCGACGTGTCGCTCTCTCCTATCCCTCTTCCCTTTGCCAATAGCAGCACGACAAAGAGAACTCTTTTACCGGATGATGAGTTCTCGGATCGGGAAGCGCCAGGAGAAAAGCAGGTATCGATGACACTGACATTTTCCGCGCCATCGTCCACCTTTGCATGACAGACACGAGAGCGATTTGTATATATGTGTGAGAAGATCCTCGTGATCTCTCTCTCTCTCTCTCTCGCAGCCCTTACCAATACGAGAGTACGAAACGAGTAAGGGCTAATAACGGGGTCCCGGTAAGTCCCATTCCGAACATTGCTTTGTGAAGGCGAGCTCTCTCCGCTCGGTAGCCGTCTCATGCCTCGTTCCCTTCGAGTCGCCTCGGCCGGTCCCTTCTTCGCATCTCATCCTCGCTCCTTTTTCTCTTCCACCTTTTCGAACCTGCTCCCACCATCTCTCTTCTCCCGCCGTATCATGGCTTCGGTACACGCTGCACCATCGTAGAGGGCTATTGAGGGCTTAAGCTGTCGGCGTGTGGCTCGCTACATCCTTTTCATCTCCGCCGCCACGACAAAGCCGCGAGCGTTCGCGGCCGCAGCCTTTACCGGTTCCCGAGCACTTCACCGTGTTTCGGAGTATCGGCCGCTCCGAATTCTATTACCACGACGGACGCGCGCTGTTCAATAATGCAACACGCGCGCGAGCCTCCTAACGTCGTTCTATTTCGGTAGCGACATATTCGCGCCCTTAACGGCCCGTCATTAACGCAGCAGATAATTATAGCTTCGGAGAGTATACGTTTAACGTCATAGGATGATACATGACGGTACTTTGCGATCTACGCGTTCAACTTTGTGTCCGCGTAATAATAATGGTCGCTCATAGCTGATGAGCTGAGAATCGTTAAGAGCTCATCGACTTTAACCTCGCGAATCGTCATTCGTAATCATGATCTGTGCGATCTCTGAGAAACGTGATCGACCTTGAGAAACTTGGCGGAGTTATTAAATGATTAATTAATCGTTCCTTGTAATCCGTGTCCATCGATCGACTTACGGATTGCAACGCCGATCGAATGATTGGCCTAATTACTGGACGAGCCGTGGGTCAACTGCTTCATTGACCGAACAACATTGCAAGAAATAGTTCTCGGTGTCACGACCACATTCGCCGTTACTTCCCGGAATAATAGTCGGGAGAAGAGAGCTGTGAGCTAGTTCACTCGCGATGACAAAAACGCCGTTTCTCTTATATTATTATCGTTGATCTACTTTTTTCTACCTCTTTAACGTGTCAATAACCAAAGGTTTTTCAGAAACATTTTTATACGACGAATTGATTCCTTAAAGAAAGCTAATGCTGTATATACTAATTCGCTTCAAATCTTTTTTCTCTTCTTGCCTCGTGGTATTTCTTTTTTTTCCGAGCACGCGATTTCAGGAATGAAGCGGTCATTGATAGAATCCCGATGATAGCGATAATAGCGGCGATAAAAAAGGGTAGAAAATAAACAAAAAAAAATGAAGAAGAATCGGGAAGCAAAAATACTGCAGGAAGAGTCGACAGCAGAAGAAGTCGTCTCATGTGGTCATATCATAACCGGCGGGCCAAACAGCGTGAGTGGTTTTAAGCGGCGACGAAAGGGAGGAGAAATGCTTTCGGTGTATGGTTCAAGAAGGGCCGGTGGAAAGAGAAGAGATTCAGCGGGGGTCCATATTACAGCTCATTTAGCAGCGGGGTCCTGTGCCCCTTTCTTCGGCGCCCCGAGAGATCCGCTCGGTCCAGAACAGGTCCGCGGACCTACGGCAAAGATGAGCCCGTTTCGTTCCCATAGAAAGTACCGGATCTCCCGGCACTTAGAGAACCTTCCGCCGCTTAAATAGTCCATCTGTTCCTATCTAGATATATTTTATTCATACGCGATGTCGCGTAGAGAAGACATGTTTCCGACGGACGATCGTGAAATTTTTTAAGAAAATTATATGCAAATTCTTGTACAACAGAGAGAAATCAATTACCGTAGAAAAAAAAAAAAATAATAATAAATTCATCATATAAAATAGGTGTGAAAAAAGACAACAAGGTGCAACGATCAAGATTTCACAAGTTTACGTTCCCGAATTCTGAGATGTCACGACGCGTCCTTGCGACTCTCGCACACGTCATTTTCAGGCAGAAATTTTGAGTGACCAACACCAGAGTGCCAGAAGCGTAGGAAGGAAGAGCAGCGGGAGAAGTTGGAACGTGGCGGGACGGGAAGTGGGAACGGGTGTTACCGACTCGTGACC